GACAGGGTCTCCCTGTAGCCCCAGCTGTCCTGGAACTCATTATGTAGACCAGGCTGGCCTTGAACTCACAGAGATCCGCCTGCTTCTGCCTCCCGAGTGCTGGGACTACAGGTGTGCGCCACCACACCTGGCTTCTTTTAAAAAAAAATTTATTATTTTTATTTCATGTCATGAGTGTATTGCCTGCATGTGAGTAAGTGCACCTGTGTCATGCAATGCCCACGGAGGTCAGAAGAGGGCATCAGGTTCCCCTGGAACTGGAGTTATTAGCTGGACAGTTATTAGCTGCCATGTGGGTGCTGGAATACGAACCTAGGTCTTTTGCAAGAACAGTCAGTGTTCTTAACCACTGAGCTACCTCTCCCGCCCCTATATCATGAAACTTTTAAAAAGCAGCTATATAAAATATAAAAACTCCCCTTTGCTTGTTGGTGGAACAAAAAATGAGTGTCAAGCCGAATTTGTCACATAGGTGACTAGAACTGAAAAGGGGAAGCACAGAAGTGCTACTCAGGGAGGGAGTGCCAAAAGCCTGTGCATGGCATTTCAGCCACAGCACCAGAGTGAGTGTTTCCACCTTAGGGCTTGCAACCTATATTGGAGAGCTGACCTTCCAAGAACCTGTGGTCTCAGAATCCCAAGTGTCATCTGTTCCCTCATTATGGTCCTGCTTGTCTAGGTAACCTGGCTGTCAGGTCTTAAGTATCTTTGGTTTGCCACATGTAAATGTCTAGAGGGAAAACACTTCAAAATATGAGCACAGGCCAGGATTTTCTGAGAAAGAACTCTAATAGTACAGGAAATAATAGCAAGAATGGACAAACGTGGACAGAAAGGTTTGCACAGAATTAAAAAGCTCTGGATTACAGGTGTGTAATCACTGTGTCTGGTGGAAAAATTTTGTTTTTTGAGATGATGTCTCACTATACATGCAGCTCTAGCTTAGCTGGAATTCACTGTATGGACCAGGCTAATCTTGAACTCACACAGATCCACTGGTCTCTGACTTCTGAGTACTGGCTCAGCTGAGTACATGCTCGGCTGGAAATGTTCTTAATATAGACAAAGGGAAGAGGTGAAAAGACAGACACTGAGGAGGGGAGCAGACTTCCCTTCAAATGAGTTTCAGGAAAAAATTAATTTAAAATTACTTATTTGTGTGTGTGTGTGTGTGTGTGTGTGTGTGTGTGTGTGTGTGTACTTGTGCCACAGCTCATGTGTGTAGGTTAGAGGACAACTTGAGGAAGTTGGTTCTCTCCTTCCACTGTGTGGGTCCTGGGGATCAAATTCAGATGTCAGGCTTAGTGGTAATTATCTTGTGCTAGATAATGCCAGTGGGTGACTTGACACACCTCAGAAGAGGGACCCTCAGTTAAGGAGTTACCTTCTTATGACTGATCTGTGGCCATGCCTGTGAGGCGTTTTCTTTTTTCTTTTCTTTTTTTAAAATTATGTATTTAATAACCACATACTTAGAAGAAGCATTTCGTTACATCAGCATTGACATATTCAACAACAATTTTCTGAGCTATGCTGTATCTCTTACAAAATTGGCTGTACCTTTTTAGGTTTACAGTTGAATTATTACAGTTATATAATGCTGTACTCAGTATAAACCCTATAAGACATAAAATTAAATGAGGTTTTAACCTTTGAAAGAGATCTCCATTTCATTATTAAAATACACAGTTTCACACAGAAAAATTCATTTGCAATGCAATTGACATTA